TTGACTTAACCCCCAAGGAATTCTCTGCCGCGGTTCAAGGTCGATGCCAGGCATTCCTAGACGCCACCTCCCTCCATGGCGTATATCACCATCCCAGGAAACAGGCTAGCATCCCTTTCGCGGTGGGAGCTCCCCCATGCTGTCTGCCACCCCGGAACTCCACTGGTAGAGCGTCTCTACCCTCGAAAATCCATAGTGGACCCACCCTTCCCGGGCGCCTGCGCGTCTCCTCGTTACGTTCCAACGATCAACCCCCCTTTTCCCTCTCGGCCACTCTCCTCTCCTGCGAGGAGGAACGTCAACCGAAGCGACCGAGCTTTGAGCCACTGAAGGAAGGGACGAAAACGGATACGCAGACGCATCTGTCCTGTTGAATAAAGGGTGGAAAGGATATAAGGGTGTCGGGGGCAAAATGGCGAACTTTTCGTGGAAATGGCCTCGAGGATGAAATTGGCGTTCCAATTGAAATTTAAGTCAAAATTGTTTTAGTCGCGTTGAATATTTAATTATCCAATTAAATAGGTAATCTTTCTTCTATTTTCTGATCTTGAATCGTTAACATAGCGAAGATGATAATGTGTATAAATATAATCGCAGATTTTATTAGTTATTAAGATCATTCTATCAATGATATTAATGAATAAAATGTAACTAATTGATAATTATTATTTTCGCATAGACAGGAACATGGTACGAATCTTGGTTCAACTCGTTGAAAACGATTTTCGAAGAAATATCATTTTTAAATTAAGATGTCAACCGTCAAGATCCGTAAAATTAAAACGTCAAAGATGGAAGAATTTTCTTTCTAAATCGTGAAAATTGGAAGGGTTAATAAGATCGTTCCGATGTTTATTTTACCATGGTTTCCGCTCGAATCGATCTCAAGGGATGGAAGGAGGGATGCTATCGAATATTTGTCGAAAAAGCTAGCCAACGTCGAGGGTTAGAGGTATAATCTACGGAGAGATCCGTCGTTGAGCTGATGGATTAGTGGATGGCGTGTCGACCCGTCCAATCGTGCCACCTTTGATTCGTGTTATTTAATTCTAATCAAACCCGGGACTCGCATTTGTCCTTCCCTATGAAACCGAGCGCGATACAGTTTCTTGGTAATAGTATAAGTAGCTTTTAAATTCGTTTCTTGGTATAAGCAGCTTAGCTGGAATTAGAGTTTAGAATTCTCGATGAAAGTTTGATCCCTATCCAAGGTCGCGTCACTCTTCTGGAAAATGCGATTCGAAGCGAGCCGATAACAGAGGGATGGAAAATCGCCGTCTCGAGCCGAGGGAAATTCAAATTCTTTGCCCGAGGTCGTGTCGCTACTCTTCTGGAAACTCGATAGAGATTGGAAATTTAATCGTAGATCTCTTGGAAAGAAAGGAAATTTTCCATTTTCGAACAATTATTCTTCTAGTCGTAAGATCTATGATAAAATTAGGTTTGTAAATAATAATCGTGGAAGAGGAACGGAAGAAAATGAGAAAAATTGTGTCGACTCGAGTCTACGTATAAGGATTACACGTGCGTGGTTGTAAGTTCGTGATAAATTGAATTTTCAGAATAATCGAGAAGAGTGGTTATTACTCGAGATCTGATTAGCGGATCGAAGGATTCGCATGAAGGATCCTTCCATCAAATAAAGCAACTATTTCGAGGTTACTAATTATTAGTAGGAGAGTTACGATCTATGGTTCCGTGATAACCGGTTGTTGTGGTAAACGTAATTAAAATAATCGTCAGATGGTAACCGACCATTGTGAGAAAACCGTGTGGTCCAAATTTAGTAATGGCCAGCAGCGCGGCAACTGTAATTCAAATTTAATGGGAACCAATTACCATGGGAGTTACAAATAAGCTGATTAAGATGATAGTTAATTGCCGCAACAAAGTAAAATTCAAATTAACAATCCCCTCATCTTACAACTCCATACAAAACGCTTTTTCAATCTCAAAGAAAAAGAAGAAGAAGAAGAAGAGGAAGAAGAAGAAAACAAAGTACCACGTTTGCATACATACATACCTATATTTATACTTTCAATCGTATCTTACGAATATCGTTCCACACAATCTTTATTTCCTCTTTAAATTTATTACATATCCACGTGATAAAATTACTTCTACTTCGAAAAATAAGTTTGCAACTCTATTTCGATTGATAACCATTTTTCTCTTCGTTTCCATCGTGTCGGATACATCCATGATGATAGAATCGATAAAATTTGCCCAAAAGTCCCTGGCACACATGTTTATCGGAATTCTATCCGATAGAAATAGGAAACTGGAGGAATCGGTCAGAACGGGTACAATGAGGGACAATTACGTTCTAATTGCCGGCATTGTCGCATCGGTTTCGTTCTCGAGTTTCAAAACGCGTTGCAAATGCAGTGTCTGCAGCGCAAAGTGCACGGTTTACGTTGCTTTCTTCCCACGGTGCGCCGGAACAAAAGTCGGTTACGTAAACGCGTGTCTCCATTCATCGGCTCCCTCCGGGACAACATTTTATTTAGCGAAATCTGTCATTTATTTTTTTTTTTTTCCTCTTTCCTATTTTTTTTTTTTTTTTCTACGCTTGTCATCGTGACAAGTTGATCGAATCGGCGGTAACGATAACGCGATCGGTTTCACGATTCGTATTGTTTCACCGAGACACGTCCACGCTTCGATGAACAGGCTCGGAAATGACATTACGTTATAATATTTTCGTTTAACAAGGCAAGCGTGCGTCCGTGGCGAAAATGTCAGGCGAGCTCCAGAGAAGAAAGATCTTTCGTATTTTTGTTATGGTTCATCGGTTAAGATTGACGAGAGGAGAGAATCGAAGAATTTATTTGGATATTTTCGTCATACGATCTTATTATAAACGCACATTATTTTTTCTTCGAATGGAAAATATAACTGTAGCAGTGGCGTATCAAATTGGGAATTCGAATCCTCTTCCAAGTTTCACCGGATTACCCCGCTCGTCGTTAGTCTTAACGATAGCAATTAGTGTCATCAAATTGCACCGAGTCGTCCGCGGATATCCTTGACGAGTTCCTTGAATGCGTCGGTAATCTTGTCCCAAGAATTTCGTTTCCTCTTCCCTTTCTACCGAATCGAATCGTTCTCTCTCTCTCTCTCTCGCGATAAAACAAATCATCTTGTCCCTCGTTGTTCCAACGTTTCGATCGCAAAAATACTTCTTCAAAATCGTATCGAATACCATCTCGACTTTGAAAGATCGAATGGAAGAAAAATAAAAAATTTTAGAGACCCACCACTCCTCCTCCTCTCCTTCCATTCCAATTCATTCCATCTCGTGTGCGTCTCGATCGAGTGAATGATTCTTTAAAATTACGAAATCCAAATTACCAAATTCGCTCCTCGATATATATTCGAGAGAATATTCTCGTCTCGACGAGAAAGAAAGAACTTGTTTTCGTACAAACTTATCCAGAAACGTTTCATTTAACAACCTGTTTCATAAATTCTTCACTTGGAAATGAAATAAAAATAACTTCCTCCCCGCCTTTTGGCGCGATACAGTTGTAAAAATGTGGGAAAGGATGAACGGTTTGAATGAATCGAGTGAATGGAAGAAAATCGGTGGTGGCAGAAGAAGGACACGGCCCACGTGGCGCTCCTCTCCTCCCGTCCCGATAATTAACCGTGTTTTGCACGGTGGGGAAGGCGCGAGCAGCCGCGAAAGAACAAAAGGCGCGAGGGCCGTGGGTCCCTAATGGTATCTGAATGAGGCTATTCCTCGAGGACCCAGGCCCGTCCGTTCCTCGTCCCGGATAATGGATTCGGTGTCATCTAAT